GGAACATCCAAGGTTCACCTTTAAGTTACTTTTGTTTGTGAGTAACTTAAGCCTCAGCATAAACCCTGCACTTTTCTGACTTTCAGTGGAGTCAGCTGCCCCACCTTGGCTGGGTTTGGGCCTGTGGGTGCCTGCGACTGAGACAAATGTCTCCCAGAAACAAAAGCAGGGCCAAGAAGAAAATCTGTATATTAGACCCAACACCTGTCACATGGTAAGATGTGAAATACAGGCACATACTCTTACCTTGCTGGCGTGAAAACAAACGCAGAAATGCACTCCATTCCTTCCTTAGAGGCATGACCCTGTCTTTCACGTGGCAACCAGCAGCTTTCTGGTCACCAGGTAGACAGGGGGTATAAAGGACCAACCTAGGAGCAAACCGAGGAGAGAGTTTCTTCACCGTAAACAGGGTCGGGCCTGACACGCGGGCCCCTCTCTGTGGCGAAACCTGGACCCCCACCCTCTGTGTCTCTCGTCGCTTCATTTGGCAGCCTCCCGGGGACCAAAGGTGGTGGAAACGGTGTGACTCACACTTAGCCATAGAAGCTAAGAAAGGCTTGTCCTCCGTTTCCACCTGTTGCATCGTCACCCATCCTCTCCTGCTCTTGAAATTGGAAGGAAAAGGTAATCGGAAAACTCAATGTGGGCACGTCCATACCCCGCAGAGGGCCACGCCTTCCAGACGGGGGGTTACCGCCTCCAGGCAGGAAGACCGGGGTGACCTTGCCCATCGGGACACAGGGCAGAGCACCCGGGAGTCAGGATCTCCGCCTGGGTCTGGCCAGCAGGGAGCTGGAGTCGGGATGACGAATGAAGGAGACGCAGGTGTCTGAGGCTCCTGTACTTCGTGTGCTGAGCACAGTCATGGAGGGGCTGGGATTTTTAGCAACGGTTTCAGCCCCTGCCCCAGTGACAAACGTATCTACTTTCATGAGCATCGAGAGAGGGATAGAGTGTGAGCATCTGTTTTTACCTCACGAAAGCTCGTTGGTGACCAAGGGGCAATGTTAGAGGAGAGAGAACTGTCTGGGACGCCCAGCTTCAGTTGGAAAGACCACAAGGCTGGTTTCCCACTTCCCCAAAACGACACGTCTGCGCACACGTGCTTGCTGGTGCCCACACAGAGGTAACTGGGGATCCCTGTCTCTGCAAGAAAAGAGAAGCTTTTTTCAAATTCTTTACCCATATCACTGACTCTCAAGGTCAGTGTTTGAAATCGTCCCCAAATGAGAACAGAAGCCACGGCTAAAAGGGTAGACCAGCAGACCACATCCCCCTTCCACGAAAGAAACGTTTGCAGAATTAAAATGGAATGAGGGGCTTTGAAAATCAAAAACTATCCTGAAACGCAGCCCTTTCAGTTATGGGGCATTCTCATGTGCTTTGTTTTTGTTAACAAAACCTGGGCTCGGAGAGCGAACTTGAATGGGATTCTGAAATCCCCGTTTGGCGGCCACCCCTCGGAGACATGGGTGTGCCCCTGTGTGGAGTGTGCGAGGGGGCGGCCGAGCCTCTGGGCGGGTTGGGTGGCTGGGCTGTCACTCATCCCTCACCTGTCCCTTGGTCTTGAGCCGAACCAGGCTTCTGTGACTCACAAGGATGCTTCTTCCCCAGGAGGCCATGATTTTGGTCACAGGTTTTAATGCCTTTTCCACACGGTGAACTTTGCATGCTTAGTGGGTGCCGAAGTCTTCGTCGGGTTTTTCCCAGGGAGCAAGGGAAATGAAATGGAAATACTTGGAGAAAGATGAAGAAGAAAAAAACTAAAATAAATCTATTTTTACATAGTACAGTGCAGTGCTGGTGAGATTTCTATGGTGTCCTTGAGAGCGATTTTGTCCTGAGAAAAGGACACTCAGAGCTTTACTTCTGTTCAAAAATAAATATTTAACTCACTGAAGTTTTAGATTTAAAAATCTAGTTATTTCCTAAGCTCTTACGTTTAGCTAACTGTTATTACTCTGTGTAGCAAATGTCTAAAAATCACTTTGAAAGGGTCCCTATTTAAAAGCTTAGTTCAAAATTTGAAATTTAAAACTGCATTTTATATTTCATTGTCTTTTGAAGTACTTCTCTGAAATAAACAAAATCCTCTTGAATATTAAATTATTCTTATAAATCTAGCCAACTTTAAAACATCATGGGACTTCGTATTTTTCGTATGTTTCAAAACAGTACATGAAAAGATGTCCTCTTAAGATCACAAGTCTTAATTGGTAACTCAATTGTGAATTTTAATTTAATTTACAAGGCTGTCACTCTCATGGGCCAAAAGTCTGTTAAAAACTATTAAAAAGTTACTAAATTTCCAAATGCTCAAATTTTTAAACAAAAGGATGTTTACAGGGTAGTCTGGATTCTCCTAAACACTTTTATAGCCACCCTTTAATCTTCCCGGGGTTGAAAGACAAGTCCATGGAAGACAGTGAACATTCACGCTCCCGGGGATTCCTGGCACCGATGGCTTTGCCAGCTTCTGGGGACGCCCAGGACAGCCCTGCGCCCTGGGCACTGAGCAGCTGTGCCTCATTAGGAGCCGTCCTCTCAGCAGGACCTGAGGGTCTTACCAGGCAGAGGCCCGGCTGGACACTGGCCGGAACCTCGTCGGCAGCCCGAGCCTGATGGTTTCCATGCGCCGACTCGATTCTCCGAGGGGGTGTGGTGGGGCTGCTATGCCACCACGTCCCTGTGCTCAGGTTGTAAATACCAATTAACTCTGACACCAGCACAGAACACCCACCCGGGTTCACTGCGTGTGTTTCTCTGGCTCAGATGCGAACGTCTAACCGTGAAGACCCTGAGCTCGGCGGGGACCTCGACGCTCACAGCCGGCTTCCTCGCTGTCGTTCAGTCCCACTCGGACCGTGCTGTCCACTAACGTGAGCCTCTCCTGTTGCACTCACGGCCCTCTCCTCGGTGTCTGGAAAGTCATCTTGCCCCTTAATGGCATAATATGTGTCTTTATAAAGGAGGCATCGCTACTTGTCACCAACCTCATGGTGTCATCGGAATTAATGAATAATGTCCGGGGAAAGTCTTATCAAGAGAATTCTGTCTGAGAATAACATGCTGAAAACTGGGTTAAATTCCCCAGCAAATCTCTTCTAACGGAAGGACTCGGGACAGAGTTCCTATCACTGCTCAGCTGCTTCTTAGTGAGTTAACTTGGAAAAGCCCCGTAACCCGTCTGACCCCTCACCTGGGGGTCGTCCTACCTGCCTCACAGGGACGTTACGGGCATCAGAAGATGGAGCGTGTGTGGGTGGCGTGGTAATAGGGGCTCTGTTACTACGAGGGGGCTTCTGCATCTACACAGCGGACCAGCCAGTGTGGGCCCTGGTGCTCCGACCGCATCTGGGAAAATGCAGTCGGGCCCAGAGACCGTGGTATCAAAGAGATAAAAACCACGTTAACCGGGATTACCGTCTGTGCTCCTTGATAAACTGATGCTTCCAAAGCTCAATACTAGCGGATCCTGGGACGTGCACAACCACCCCTGTGTTCAAACTGCCTTCCCTGGGGTGAAAGACTGAGGCAGCTTCTCAGCTCATAGGCGACAGTTGTGAGCAAGTGTCTGAGCCAACGTCCCGTCCTCCGAAAGAGCAGCTCACTCAGGCCCATTTTCTACCCTGTCTTCATTCAAGTCAAGGTTTGAAAGAAAAGATCAGGAGGCAAATGAGAAAGCCCGGCCGGTGTGGCTCAGCGGTTGAGTGTCAACCCACGAACCAGGAGGTCACGGGGTTCGATCCCTGGTCAGGGCACATGCCCGGGTTTCGGGCTCGATCCTTAGGGGCCATGCAGGAGGCAGCCGGTGGATGTTTCTCTCTCTCCCTCTCCTTTCCTCTGTCTCTAAAATCAATTTAAATAAATTTTTTAAAGGGAAAGGAGACACTCTAATTGAAATTTTCATGGAAAACCAACAGGAACCTTTAGTTTCTCAGGAAGTTTGGGGGGCTCATGTTATCAGTTTTCAGGATCATCCAGAAAATCGGGCACTAAGCTATGCTGCATGCTGACTCTGACTTTTAATGTGTTCCTCAGAGCTCTACGTGGTTTGCCTATTTGGGATCTTACGACATACAATTTAAAAGTCCACGTGAAAACTTATTAAGGGTCCAAGAAAAAAAGTAACAATAAAAGGCTTAGCAGACGAGCCCCTTAAGTACATACTTTAAGCGCTGTAGCTGTTTAACTCGGGCCAGAGGCCTCTCGTCTGTGCGTGAGGGGTGACCGAGGGCCCACTTCCTCCAGCTGAAGAGGAAACGGGGCAGAAGGGAGGCTGGCGATGCGGAGGAGCTATCTGCCCATACCCGCCTTCAACGCCACCTGAGATCACGGGAAGGCCTCACCGGGACCTTCGCTTTCAGGAAGGAAGCCATCCGACAGGGAGTTTGTCATAAAAAGCCAGGCCACGCTTTCCCTGAGAGCTTTTTCAGCTGCACGCCCTTGGAAGGAACATTGCTCCTTCACAAGCACCTGCTCTGGCCGTGCCTCCCCCGCTCCCGAGCGCCACCCCCAGAAGCTACTTTGTATCCAAAGCGCCACCCCCGAGAAGCTACTTTGTATCCAAATAGCCGGTGTATCAGAGTCTGACTAAAGCTTCATTAGTCACTAATGGTCTCAGATGGTCCCCTCTCCCCGGGATGAACAGTCACAGAAGAAATAAGTGCCGGGAGTGAGTCAGAATCAAATGCTCTCCTTGGAAGGATATTCAGCAAACTGAATGACTGAGGCTGAGCTTGCCGTTTTCGGAATTCAGCTATCGCTAGGAAATTGTCTCTCTCTTGAATGAACCTAACCAAGGCGGGTGTTCTCAAAGGACACGGGGTATGCCCACAGAGGAAAGGGTGCTGCATGTGCCTCTCTGTCACAGAGGCCACGGACCTCTTCGAGGTCACGGCTGCCAGCCTGCTGGGACACCACGCTCCCCCACGCTTGTCACCCCAGCCTCCGTGGAGATGCTGAGCAGATGGTCGTTCAGTGCCGGCTGCATCCCCGCAGCTTCCTGTGTCTCCAAAGAATACCATGTTCTCCTATAAAAAAGAACGTCTTTCTTAAATTCTAGCCCCCAAACCATTTGGGCTTGGTTGACAAGCCTGAGAACAGGACCTAACAACACGAAGCACAACCAAACTTCGCTCAGCGGGCGCTGTTTTTGTGGAGGTCTAATCAGGAGCCAGGCGGAACCGCAGTCCTGCCAGACACGTCGCCGAGTCCATGGGTCATATACAACTGGGCTGACCAAGCACCACAGTCAGAAAGTCCTAGAAGCATCCGATTGCTGCGTGTGTGTGCGTGTATGTGCGTGTGTGTGCGTGTATGTGTGTGTGTGTGTGTGTGTGTGGACACTAAGAATCTAACTGTTCAAGTAGCTATAAATGAGTTGTGGGGCATCTGGCCCGCAGGAGCTTCGTTTGGATGTACTGAGAGAGGACAATCGTGAAGGTGGGGACGGAGATTGACCCTGACCTGCCAGAGAGAAGCCTGGAGAGAGGGGGCGTACGCTGCAGTTTCACAGACTCGGGGACCCCAAGTGTGTCCAGTACTCACCAAGCAGGATGAGAGGGAGGGGAAGCAGGAGAATCAGCCAAGAGAAGTCATTTAGGGTTTGGCAAGATCTGCTGTCCGTCAACAGACGCTTCTAACCTGGATCCCTGGCAACAGTTATGAGCTAAGAAAAGTCACCCCACAGAAAAAGAGCCGCACCCCTGAGGGTGAGGGAAAATCGAAGAGCAGGTGAGAAGACGCGGGAAGGACCCGTCACCCTCTGGAAACGTGAGAGACGAAGCTCTAATTACTGTCCTCCTGCAATTTCAATTAAATAATTGTATATTTAAATGTCTTCCTTGACAGTTTTGAGGTTATAGTTACGCATTTAGTTATAGGTATAGGAATTTCATTCCTATTACAGAAGGGAAATTTTCCCTTTAACGATCTGTGTTAGAATTTATTATTACACATTTTTTTTACAAATTGAACTGAGTGCTTTAGGTCACTAATCTAATCCAAGTTAAGTGAAGCCAAGACTTCTACCAGAACTTAAGACGCATCGCTATTTTTTTATGCATCCGTCACTCTGCTTCCTAAGAAAATACTGTGGTACAGCAGCGGTAATTTCATCTTTCGTGTTCACTGCAATGTTTTCACTTGACCTCAGCAACATGTCGTGAACTGATAGACTGGTGATAATTCACACAGCTCTTTGAATATCCTTCAGATGCTCATGATGGGAAATTAAAGAGAATTATAAACATCATCTCAAGAAACAGGGTCTCCACTTAATTTGTGTTGTGTGCCTACAGTTCCCAGGAATTACAGGAGGGGAATACAGTTTATACCCGAGTCTGTAAAGTTAACTAAACTATTTAACGATAGTACGATACTCCAGTCACGGAGCTTCACCTCGACGTCTGCGTCCGGGGAATCCTGAGCAACCTGGGGCGGCTCCGCGTGCGAACAGTCTGCTGCCAGCGCGACCTCCGGTGTGGAATCAAACGTGTTTCTGGGGTAATCGGCTCCGAGGCAACCGATGGAGGCGGGTCCAGTGCCAACGCTTGCCAGCGTGCTTGCCTGGGATGTTTCTCAGTCGGGATGGGGAAGCTGAAGGACAGATAAGAAACATCTGAAGATAACGTTCGAAAAGAGCCAAGAACTGAGTAATAGACATAATGGCAGAGTCAACTGGGCAATTATATCGTCGAAAGTAAGAGACAGCGAATCGTTTTGTAAACATTACCATCCATCAGAGGGGCCTCTTTAAAACGCCAGGAACAGGAAGCTGTTGAATTATTAACATGAGCTATTAGCAGCCAGAAGCACTTTGTACTCAAGGTTATTACTTTGATGCTGCAGAACCAACTCTAACTCTTCCAAGCTGAAGCTTTGTAGTAAAATATTTTCTCTGGCCCGGCTGGTATGGCTCAGTAGTTGAGCATCGACCTATGACCCAGGAGGTCACTGGTTCGATTCCCGGTCGGGGCACAGGCCCGGGTTGCAGGCTCGATCCCCAGCAGGGGTCGTGAAGGAGGCAGCCGATCAGTGACTCTCGTCATTGATGTTTCTGTCTCTCCCCCTCCCTCCCTCTCCCTTTCTCTCTCTGAGATCAATAAAAACATTAGAAAAAAAAAATATTTTCTCTGGTTCATAAAACAAACTGAAGATTGTCAGGTGACAGGGAGCTGGGGGCACTGTGTGGAAAAGGTGAAGGGACTAAGGAACACAGATTGGTGGCCACAGAATCATCTCAGGGATAAAGTACAGCACAGGGAATACAGTCAATAATTTATAACTGTGTGCGGGCCGGGGGGTCCTGGAAATATCGGGGGAACTTTGTAAGTATGTGCTGTCTGACTGCTGTGCTGTGCACCTGGAACCAATACAGAATAATACTGTCAACTGTAAATAAAAAATAAAAAAATAAGATAAAATATTTTCTCTGGTTGACGCTTTATGGTCTTATTTGATGGAAGAGCAAAGTAAGGAAACTGATAGAAAATTAACTTCCTTCTTGATCAGTGACTCCCGAGAAGGTCTTTTCTTAATTCTGATTCAGTGTCTAAAACCGTGCCGGGCATGAGCCCCTGGGTCACACATATCGACGCGATTCATTGACTTTTCTATCCAGACTTCCACCCGAGATCCTTGCCGTCTCCACGGGCATCAGTTATCTCCTGTGGCATACAAATTACCCCCAGATTACTGGCTTAAAATAGCAATAAGTACTGATTATCTCTCATAGCCTCGGGACTCAGGGATTCGGGAGCAGCCTGGCTGGGTGGTTCTCACTCAGGGCCTCCCTTGAGGAGGGCTCACGGTGGTGTCTGGGGTTGTCGACCATGCGCTTGACTGAGGTTGGAGAAGCTGCTTCCAAGGGGAGCCATTCACTGGGTGGGCGGTTTGGGCTGGTTAACGGCAGGAGACCCGCTGCCTCCCCATGGGCTTCCTGTGGGACGGCCTGAGGGCTCTCGCCCCCACCTGGTTCCCTCCCACAATGGATCCCCGCAGGCCTCCACTCCTCCATCCCCTCCGTCCTCGCTGGGCACCCTGGGGCCCAGACTTTCTGACCTGAAGGCAGAGCAGGGAGCCCCGTGTGGAGCTGATGGGACGTGAGCTCCCCTCCCCCTCAGGATGGGTTTTCCACCTGCTCACTCACCCTAACACGGCTCAGCTAACAGATTCCTCTTTCACTGACATGTGGTTTCTTGTCTCCAGTTAAAAATACCAATATTCTTGGTAGAAGAAATATATTACAGTTTCAACAGCTGTCTGCTCTTTAGAATGAGTTCTGCATTTCTCCCGAAAACAGGTTTTCAGAATGGGGAAGAAGAACAGAACACGTGGGGGAGGGGGATCCCCCAAAGGGCAGAGTCCAGGGAGAGAAAGGGGAACCTCGGAGAATGGAGTGTGGACGAGGTGCTTCCTCATGCTCTGTCCACAGCCAGCGCTTTCGGGAGACCTGACCAGGGGGAGGAAGCCAAAGGCCTCACAGCCCATCCTCATACTCACACCCAAGCTCACTGAATCAAACCGCACGTCCTTTGTGCCCCGTGTGCCAAGGCACTAAAGCGAGGGCCACCCCTTAGAAAAGAAAGAATGACCGGAGGGCGTGAGCCACACAGGTGACAGTGACGGACTGGAGTGCAGAGGGCTGGCTGGTTACCTCTCGGGATTAAGCTTGTTGACTTTAATGAAGACTTTTTCATAAGCCCTCAGCCCTGTTATTTGTTCATCACCTTGCAGGGCTCTGGGATTCCCAACTTGCAAGTATAAAAAGGAGGAGTGGTTTGCAAACACCCGGTGTCTGGACACATGCTCTCGATTATCTGTGGAAACCAGACGCTTGATGATCTGAACCGAGTGGAACAGAACACACACTGTTCATTCACAAGCTGGCATCTCACTCCCACGGAGACCCCAGGCTCTGCAAAGACGGTCCTGCGGTTTTTATCAAATAAGAAAAAGTAATGTCAAAAAATAATGACTTTTCTTAACACTCTGCTGCTTGATGGTTGGGTTTCCTGTAGAATTTAGTGACCTCAGACTTTTCTTACGATGCTACTGAATGTCCCCAGGAAGAGAGACTTAGGCACCGACACTAAGCCAGGCTCGTTCCTGCACCAAGGAGTGCTTCCAGTTTTACCCAAACCAGCCAGAGGAGAAAGGGAACTAACCTATTAACACACCTGCTCGAGACCCCGCATCCTGCCAGGAGCTCCCAGCACAGAATTTCATTTCCTCAGCTGTCCGGGCCATAAAACATCCTATCTGATTTGAGCATGAGATTCATTTTTTTTCTACGAATCAAGTTAAGCTGTGTTTTGCTTATGCTTTCTTTGGGTAATTACTTGGGTTTTATATATTTGGATAAATGTTTCCATTAAACAACACCTTAATTTAAGGGTTCATTCGAGGTGCAAGTGAATTTTTGTGTTTACCAAGGTTGTTATAAACTGGGTTGTGCAGGCGTGAGGTCAGGGGGAACATCAGAACCAGAATCGGGGTTTCCTTGTCTCAGCCTGATACTGTTTCCAGTTATCACAAGACAATGACATCGTTCAGTCCCCTCATGTGATCTCATGCACACTGTTGCTATAAAAACTCCCAGAAATTTTACAGAGTTTTCCACTTTTCAGTCTAGGTATTTAGTTTCGCCTGGAATTTTGAAAGTTATCAGACCATTTGGTTTTGTCTGTAGGATTTTTTTTGCTTTCAAATGTAAGTCACAACCGAGGTTGACTAAATTGCTTCTGGTTAATGAAACAAATTGTTTTTTTTCTATGCAGTTATGTGGCCAAGAACCCGTTTTGATGAACAACTGAGCACTTGCTGAAGCATTCTGGTGGAATTGCACGGGTCTCTCAGGGAAACACGAGAATAATTTCCAGCGTGACAGAGGGGCCACGGGACTGAGCCCCACGTCCCTCTGTCTGAGCTGGAAAAGTTGCTGTCTCGGAGCCGCTCGGCACTTCCCGTCCTAAATGCTCATTATAACCTGATCAGCTCAGAGTTCGCACGAGCCCAGGGGTCACGCTCCGGGGAGAAGGAGAAGACGTCCCCTCTGGGTGAATCCAGCCGGCGCAGTGCTTGTCCTGTGTCCACCTGACCCCTCAACAGGGGCTCACATGAAGCAAACCAGCTGGTGCATCCGCGTGTATCGGCCGCGGTCTACTCCACACGACGGGAGGGAGGAGAAAGTGAAGGCCTTTGCAAAAGGCACAATATAAATGGGAGAGAGCTGCATGGGCACGAATATCATCAAAACCTGGCTCTCAAACCAGAAATTTAGATACGTGTGGATTTCTCAAAAATTTTAAATCAGGAGACACAAATCACAAAGAAAACCCAAAATCAGTCAGCCACACAGTCTTCAGCAGGCCTGCGGGAGTCAGGGAACCTGAAATCTACTTGAAAAGTCACACCCAGGTCCTGCTTCTGGGGGCTTCCGGAGCAGGGGGTCCGAGGCCCTAACATTCTCACTTACAGGGCTCCTTGGTTTTCTTTGACATGCAGCCTTGTCACAGGCTGAGAGAACTGAAGCCCAGCAGCCAGTTAGGTATTTTTAAACCACATTTGCTTTTTTTTTTTTTTTTGCATGAATTATCCAGAGAGCCTACAAATGAAAAGGAAAGCATATGGCATAAAGAATAATTTTTTAAAAAATACTAAAGAAAATGCTGTGTTCTCCATAAAAAAAATCAGCTAGGATATGGCTCAATAAGTTGACAGCTCATCAAATATTTATAAAATGCACATTTCAGACACGTAACACATGGCACAAAGCACCTCTGAGAAGTCCCACCCACGGAGCTCCCAGGGCCTCATCCTGCTCCCCACCTGCTGACACAATGGAAACCCCAGGTGAGCACGTCTGTCATCGGCTTTGATATCCAACGAGGCTGCCGTGAATCACTTCAAAGCAGACAATCAGTAATCATTTTGCTTTTAAATAAATCCAGTGCCATTAAAAGCAAAGGCAATGATTTAAACCCAAGCACTGAGGGGGTGTGAGCCACTTATAACTTAAATCCTTTGTGGAAGCACATGCTTCTCCTTGAAACTTTGGTACTAAGGCGTTGAGGGGCAGGCTTCCATCTCATCTGCCGCTGTTTTCCAGGGGGTAGAGAGAGACCGTACTTTACACCTGTTTTAAGGTGTTGTTAATGCCATCGGCAGGAGAAGCTACAAAATTCTGAACAAAACTAAAAGAACCCATTTCAGCCCATAAAGAACAAGCGAATGAGTCCCCAGAGGTGACATATTAAACTATTGCATTTAGAACGTGAGCACTCTTTTTATATAAATCTCCAGAATTGCTCAGCTATCACAGGAAAGTGAAAAGGGGAAGATAAACTAGATGCATGGCCAGTTCTGAGCTGACATGCTACTCCCCCGACCTTGCTGAACCGGCGTTACCCTCAGGCTCCTGGGACCCTGAGCAAGGAAGAAGCCAGTTCGGAATCTGACGTCTAAACTAACTCATCCTAAAATATGTTGGGGGGAAAAAAAAGAGTCATCCATACAAGATTGATTTGATCTGACATTTGGAATTCTTTTATATAAAGGATTTCTAAAGCAACAATTGATAGCCAATGACAAGATTA